AGAGAGAGAGAGAGAGAGAGAGAGAGAGAGAGAGAGAGAGAGAGAGAGAGAGAGAGAGAGAGAGAGAGAGAGAGAGCTTGTTCACATGACGAATTTGTATGCTCCACTTTGTGTGCAGCTTTTTGCACAGTCCAGCACAGAGGCAAAGGAAGAGAGCTGTACTTCACGGCCACATGTTGGCAACTCCAGATGCTCGCATTGAACTTGGCACAGACGTGTGTTTATGTGAGAAAGAAAGGGAGCGGGAAAAAGAGCCATACTACTCAGGCTAAACAGTATAGTTTGAAGAATTGCTAGCACATTTCTCACAGCCAATGACGGAGAGAGCTGAAGAGCTGTGCTTTATTTGGATGTGTTTGCAAGTTTTCAAGCTCCGCTTTCCACACTGACCATGATGGACTATGTAGTCAACGATTGCTTGCACAGCTAGCTCACATGAGCACCCAGTGAGGAAGTCCGCACTTTCAGAACCCACAACGGATTTGCCTCTTGCATAACAGGTGGGCTTGTGCGTGTGTGGGTGTGAGACAGGTGTGGCGTGCGACTGGACTGTGTTTACATGTGTTGCAACGATCGTGCACCTGTCCTTTGCGATGGGTAGGTGTATGTGTGTGTGGTGTGTGGGTGTATGTGCATGTGCATGTGCATGTGTTTCTGTGTATGTGTTATGCGTTTGTGCACGCATATTGGGCACGGGAGTGGTTGTATGTGTTTGTGCATTATGTGCAAGCATCACTTGCCCACACACAGTAAACGCCAGGGAGTGGTTTGCACAGGCGTACAATGTTCGTCCGCAAACTTCCCCATTTGGGGTAGAACCCCAGTAGGTATAAGGTTGGTAGCAGCCCTGCGCCCCTGCCATCAAAAGGTTTGTTACCGTGGGATGCGCCATTTCCAACGTTTTTTTAATCAGAGTGACGCGGTTTTGGCTCAAGGTGGTCCAGTCGGTCCCGATTTCAAGGTAAGGCCCAGAATTAGTGGTTTCAATAGTGGTGGGGATGTAAGATTGGGAACTAGCAACATCTATAGCAGTGGGGAGGCCTCTAGAACTGTGCACAGATGCTCTCCAATCAGTAGGGATCAGCAGCAGTCAGGCATCATTCAGAGGCCCATGAACTGCCTCATGACAGCTTGCAATGCGTCTATCAACTCTGAAATGCAATCCTTGTCGTTTTGTTCTCGTTTTGTTCTCGTTTTGTTCTCGTTTTGTTCTCGTTTTGCTCAACAAAGCTCTGCCAAGTCAGTTTCACAACTTCAGATGGAAGACAGAGTGTTTGCCCAGAATCGTCATTCCCACATCCAGAATTCACTCAGTGAGCCAGTGGTGAAGAAACTGACTTATGCAAGCAGAATTTAATTGGGGTAACCGGATGTGCATCGCCTAAGGCTGGTCGAAGCTGCTACCATTTTCAGTGAATGCAAAAAAAGAACAGAAGCACGACTAACCTCACCCTCCGCCACACTCAGGAGAATGTGTCACTGCAGTGACAGCTGGAGTCATAATGGGCAGTCGTATCTCCTTGATCGATTAGCTGGATAGGTGGCAGGTAGAGTTTCATCCGTGATACCGGCAGTCAACAGAGGGGCAAGCGTTGGAATAGGCTGTCGATCATGACATACAACTGGCAATGAATAATCATGTTCCCACGGTGAATCGGCAGAGGAACAGAACGCCAGCAACTATTCATGTGAGGTGAAACAGCATGTTCCATAGAATCAGTTATACAGGCAGCCGGGAGGGAACTGGAGTACAGTTAGGCTATGCTTATCCAGGGGCATCAGCCATGTGCACAAGAGCACTGTCGAGGTTGCAGGACCAGAAGGATATACACAATGTCATTCAGACTATAACACATGCCTCAGCACTCTGAAGTTGCAAGCATTCCAATCGAGAAGTGTTATTCTTACCTAACACAAGTGTAAATCGACGCATTCCTTTGCATTACGACACCTACAGCAATGAAGGCCTGGGAATGCAGAAGAAGGTGATGCACATGTGACAACATCGACCATGGACAGTGCAAGAAAAGGAAAGCGCGGCTGGTGCTAGGGGGACCATGTATGTGAGTTTGCATCATCGCCTAAGCAGCTTGTTCTTTGCCAATCAGAATGGGAAAATCGAAGACAGAAAGGAAAGGAATAAATATGAAACGCCGAAAAGGGAGGGGCAAAGGAAGATAGGCAAAGGAAAAAAGGCATAGGAGCAAGCCAAAGAGACTGAACAAAAAGAACAGAGAATTGTGTTTCCAGATGAAGGGTCTTTTGCGACGGTGTAGGTGAGAAGGAGTCTGCACATCCATTCGACCCAGTAGTTGCAGCCGCAGGATTGAACAAGGATCATCACCATCAAATCGCAGATGTTCCCAGGCGCCAGGTAGGCTGGCTGTGGTCACATGGTGATCACTGCCGAAAGAGATGAGCTATGAGGTCTCTCTGCCCAAAGGGAGAATCTATGAGGTCTCATGCTCTTCTCACTCCAGCTAGGCAATTGTCATTGCCAACAGAGAATTTCCAGCGACGATCAGCACATGATTGCCATCACTGCCATAGGGAGAAGGAGCGGTGATGGTCTTTGTGCAATTGTCGCAGTCGCAGTTGGGGAAAGCCATGGAGGACATTGCACAGATTAAAGTACTGATGATCCAGCATCCACAGAAGGAGAGAAAAAAAAAAAAAGAGAGCCAACAACCAAGCTTACCAAAAATGTCAAGTCGAAAAGTGTCGACAGACTGGACCCAACTCTTGATGACATGCTTGAGCTCGACTGCAAATGTGCAAACAGGAAGCCATACCAACAAACCAAACATCCCAACTATGAGGCTGACGCGAACACGATTGCAGAGGTGTTGGAAGTGTCTGTTTGCCGACACTTCTTGAGTGATAACAAGTAAAAAGGATCTATCTCAGACAAACTTCCTGAAAACCCACATTCTTCAAAACTCAAGCTCAAGCTGACATGTCCCTCACTACTACCTCCCTGAGTTTGCACTTAACGATCAATAAAATATCTCAAGAATATCAGAAAACTCTCTGAAGGCTCCAAGATGTGAAACCTTGCATCAAAACTAGAAGCTGGAAACGAGGTGTAAGAGGGGGTCAAACAGCGCATAGAAAGCCTCGGCATCAGATGTCAGCATTAGGAACTTAGATGATGTTTGTCATCGACGAAAGAATGACCAATGACTAGCCACAAAGTGGCACGCTAGCACCGTGAATGAGTCAGAGATCGTCACGCCTAAATAAACGCGCCGCTAGTGCAGATGAAAATGCACGAGTAATGAAAAACAACAAGCTCAGCAAGGACAATTCCCGATTGAATATATTTTCCTGACGTTTCTAGCCCTTCTCTGCCACTCTATCTATATAGAGACTCAAATTGGCAATTTATACTCTCCTGTTCCCTTCGGATACCCATCGCCGCCTTGGGGCACCCATGCGTCCTCGGGGGTGGGTTTTGGCGTAGCGTTGACCCGGCTCGCTTGTCTAAGTGTGGCCCACTCCAAGGAGCAAGAGGCTGATTTTCTATTTTGCAACATGCTCTTCCTTTCACCGTCTGCAATCTGACACTGGAGGCAGGCGGACCCTAACAGGCGTACATGCAACCCTATTGTATATTGGGCCTGCAATGGGGAGCCATCAGCGACTTACACCATGCCTTGAAGCCCCCCCCCAAAAAAAGCAAGAAACAGGAGTAGAAGAGAGAAAGTGTGTCTATAGTTTGAAGAGAGTTATGTTGCAATCAAGAAGTGAGATCCAGAGAAAACAAACCATGTGGGGGTTTTCCGTGGCGCAGAACACCTGGAAGCGACCAAAAAGAGGCCAGGCGGACCCTAACAGGCGTACATGCAAACCTATTGTATATTGGGCCTGCAATAAGGAGCCATCAGCAACTTACACCATGTCTTGAAGCCCCCCCCCAAAAAAAAATAAAAAGAAACAGGAGTAGAAGAGAGAAAGTGCGTCTATATTTTGAAGAGAGTTTTGTTGCAATCAAGAAGTGAGATCCAGAGAAAACAAACCATGTTGGGGTTTTCCATGGCGCAGAACACCTGGAAGCGACCAAAAAGAGGCCAGAAAACTGCAAGGGATCACAGGCAGAGAGGGACAGACACAAGCCCGTTCGTCAAACATCAATTATTTCGACCATTTGGGTAAATCGATGGAGAAAGCATTTCCAGCTAAGATCCTTGCTGTCAGCGGAAGCAAGGACCGCAATTGACTTTTCACAAGTTTTCAGTTCGCCAGCCCTGCAAAGGAGGGGGAGGCATGGTGGTCAAAAGAAAAGGGGTCAGCTCCACCATGTTATAAGCCAGAATCGGATTGGCAAAGAGAGTAGGTACTAGGAAGCCTCGACGACGGATCAAAGACGTTGACAGCAGCCGAAATCAGTTTCGAGGAGAAAAATGTAAGAAAAACAGAGTGCTTTTAAGTAGAAAACATAACTTGCAAATTCAGCAGTTGGAAAACTATCTGGACGTGAGCACCAGCCGGCGACACTGCAAAAGAGTGGTAGAATCAGAGATTGGGATTTGACCAAACAAACAGAGCGCTTTTGAGTAGAAGAATTTACTTGCGAATTGAGCACTTAGAAAACCATGTGGTGGTGAGCACCTGCCGACGACACTGCAAAAGAGTGGTAGAATCAGATTGGCAAGTAGAGTAGGTACTAGGAAGTCTCGATGACTGATCAAAGACATTGACAGCAGCAGAAATCAGTTTCGAACTTTCGAGGAGAAAAATGTAAGAAAAACAGAGCGCTTTTGAGTAGAAAACATAACTTCCAAATTGAGCAGTTGGAAAACCATGTGGACGTGAGCACCTGCCGACAACACTGCAAAAGAGTGGTAGAAAAAGCATACCATCACACGGACTCAAACATCTGTTATCAACACTGTCAAAGAGTGTAGAAAGAGGCTTTCATCACATTTGACAGGCTTGTTACATGGTTCACAAACACAAGGGTTATGCACCTCTGTCGAGCTTGATTCTGCGAGTGACTGATAGTAATGTGCCCGGGAGAGAAGAATGTTTAACAAAAAAAGAAGAAGTTAAAAAACAAAACAATAGGAAACTACAAGCAAGAAGGGTGAGATCTTCACCAGATCTGACCGGAAGCAGTGCTTTCAGATTGCTAACTGTGTGTGGCCCTTGCCTCCAAACATCACACATAAATATTTGCAACTCATTGCAGTCATTTGTTTCTGCACGTCACTCCATTTAGCTTATGCAGGACTTGTCGTCTACGGCGTCTAGAAGTTGGAATGTGGATCTCCGATCAGCCAACCAGCATTCGCGCTCGCCATGTGATGCCTGTACCAATGCTTCTCAGGGATGTATCAGGAAAAGACGAAACTCATACGGGAAGGAAAAAGCAGTGGAAACTCAAAAAAGCGCGAGGAGGAAGAGGAATGGCAGGGAAGAGGGTATTCTTCTTGCAAATGTTGCACACCTTGTCCTTCCTACTCTCAGAAGTATGAGACCCAAAAACAACAACACGGGCCTGATTCTTCTCCAGCCGTTCCAGCTTGACGTACCGATCGAAGTTACCCACAAATAGTTTTTCCACATTGCGAATATATAAAATGAGTGGCCCTTTTGCTGCCTCGGACATGACAACCTGCGAAGAAGAGGCCAACAAATCAACCATCAAATGCACAGTCTCAGAAAGAGAGACAACCAGCTCGGACCAAGCACGTGTGGCTGCATGGTACAGAAGTGTAAATAGTTCAAATCCTGCCGGAATCAGTTCAAAACAATAATGCAAGGGACGGACTAGCCCCTTCAAAGCAGAAGGGGAAGCAGAGAGAACCAACATTCTCGTGTTACCAGATCCTGTCTCTCTCATTTTTACTGAGCCATGGCCCCCAGATGAAATGACTTGAGTGCTTTCAGCTCAGAATACATACACTTGTATTGCAAATGAAATTAATGAATACAATAACTATCCACAATGACCTTGCACACTTGCAGTCTGAGAAATCTACACCTTTTTTTGAAGGAAAAAATGCAACACGAGGCTGTTGTCTCAAGCAGACAGTAATCACCACAGGGCACAAATCAGATCAAGATAGAAAGTGAGATTGTGTCTTACACCACCAGACACAAAGGGCTGGCGGATATGCAGTAATACACATCCCCAGGTCCGGACCCACTACCTGTGGATTTCATTTTGAGATTTTCTGACACTGGTGTGGCGAAGTGGTTTGCCTACCTGACTATTCGACTACCGTCTTCACCAGAAGAGAACGCCAGCCGCCCAGTCATTATCACCGGATATAGACTGGAAGTTTTGCCAAATACAGCTATAATGACCGCGTGCTTTATTCGGGTGAAGACGGTAGTTCTAGCACCTCCAGGAATACAGGATCCAGTAGCTGGTCCATTCAGACCAGCGATCAGTACATTCCACCACTTACCACCACCATGCCTCGACCAGAACCTGTTACAATGTTACATTTCTACTGAGCACCTACAAGAATACAGGATCCAGGTTCCAGTTCTAGCACCCACCGGAATACAATGTCAAAGTGTTACAATGCTAGCACCTACCGGAATACAGGATCCAGTTCTAGCGCCCACCGGAACACAGGATCCAGTAGCTGGCCCATTCTGACCAGCGATCAGTACATTCCACCACTTACCACCCGCACGCCTCAACCAGTGATGATGGTGAACACGGTGTTGGCGTTGCTCTACATCATTCATCTCAGCATCAGCATCCTTTGCCACTGTTACAATGCTACTGAGCTTTGTCGCTCATTCCGTCTGCCCTTTTCCTCTATACACCATGCTGCAAAAGCAGTGTGAGCTACTCTCACTACCCGATAACTCACATACCCGCAGAGCAACATGAGAGACTGCCCACACTAGAATCCAGTAAAACCACCAGTACACCCGGGCCGCCTCACAGCAGCACACTTTTTTCCTCTTTTGGCTTGCGCCACCACCCATTGTGGTCCGGTAGCCCCGAGCCTCGGAAAGGAGATGAAGAAAGCTTACAAGACTGGGGGGCCGTGTACTGGCGGTTTCACAAATGAGATGTATAGGAGCAGTAGAACATAGACAAAAAGATGCATCTCCAAGAGGAGTTGTGCTCCGATGGAGTGTGACCCCAATATTCCTGTGCACCTGGCATAGTTGTCGTCCCCCGCAGTCTTGATTTCTTGCGACTTTTTTTCTCTGCAGTTAAGAATCTGTTCGGCCTCAAGTTCAATCCTAAGATTACACCAACTTAGAAATGAGTTGTCATCTGCCATCTTCTGCAGTTAGGGTTGCATAGCTGCCGACCGCCGACCCTGACCGCCGACCGTTTTGCAGCCGACCAGTCGGAAAAGAGTCATCCACTGAAATTTTTCAAATCTGAGTTGGGGGTTGTACTGCGCTTGCTGAGTACAGCCCAAATCCACAGAGAAACTTTTGGGGATTTTTTTGGGGGGGGGTGGGGGGGTATGGGGGGGCATAGGGGGGTGTATGGGGGGGATAAAGTTGGTATAGGGTTGGTATAGGGGGTATTGCGGGGGGTATGAGGGTGTTGGGGGGCAGTTTTGGGGTTTTGAGGGGGTGTATTGGGGTGTTGGTGGGGTTATTGGGGATTCTGGACCCTTCTTCTTTTTTTTTGCGGGCTGCCGACGAACGTGGGTGTATGCAACACTGTCTGCAATTAGAATCTGTTTCGCCTCCAGTTCAATCCTAAGCATACACCAACTTAGAAATGGATTGATAGCTATCGTGACATAAAATCCCTCGTTTGTGGAGACCCTTGCAATCTTGGGAAATTGGGGATCTCAGAAAGACGACACTAAATTTCGTAGGTAGTACAGAATGACCATGATACCACAAATAGACATGCAAAATGGCAGAGCTACAGTGGGAAGGGATTTTCGCAAGTATGTGCACATGCCAAGGAGGATGAGGGACAAGGGGCACACAAAAGTCAAAGCTGGAGCTTGCAGTAAATAAAGAGGAGGAAGATAAGACGCTTGCAGAGCTGGGGCAAGCCCAGAGCAAGCAAGGGCATACAACAGTCACATCTGAGCATACCTCAAGCAATGCCTCAGCAATGACCTTGTCTGCATCTTCATTTGCACTGCCTTCTAAACGAAGGTCGGAGACTGCCTTACCAATCCAAATGCAGATCCATACATTACACAGAGTTACGCACACACAGCCACACACAGCACACAAGCAAAACGATGCTCTCAAAGACAAGCCAAAGTGAAAGGGAAAAGCACATCTTCCAAATAGGAAGCCTCGGCCACACGTAGTATGTTTACTCCGCTACTCCTAACACCACGTGGAGCTTTCTGACAGCCACGCACAGTGGACACTTCATTACAAAGAAACCATCTACGATACTTGTTTAATTTCCTACTCCTAACACCACATGGAGCTTTCTGACTGGGATGCACACGGGACACTTCATTACAAAGAAACCATCTATGATACCTTACATGTGGAAAGCCAGACATCCAGAGGCAGAATCGCATCCCTATCCTGCCCCAAAAGAGAAATGTCAGACAGCCAGAGGCAAAACCTTACTTCTACGCAGCCCATGGGGTTGAATGACATACACAATTCACCGTTTCGTAAACAGATAATGAGTTCGAATCCTGAAGCAATCAGATGCATATCATAACTAGTATTTCTAGTGCGGGGCACACTAGCAGTAAGATTCAGATGTTATTTGTCAGGGGTGTGATGGCTGTGACGGGTCAACGCCCAGAACAACAAAATAGGAATCCTTGAGTGAAAGAGATAAGAATTTGAAGAGAACATTGACAACAGTGAAAACATGCACGCGACGCAGACATCACCACATTGCAATTAATTCCCGCCAAAAACCCTAGGTGGGCCCAGTGCTACCAATGACCTCATACGAGACAGAAGCTCGTCGATGTCAGACCAGATTTCACAATCGGGAGGCCAATCTACACCACCTCCTGCAAGAACAGAGTTAGCAAGTTGAAACAGTGGAAAACTGAAAATAATAAAACAAATTCCAAGCAGAATACTGCAATAAGACTTGTCTTTCTCGACACTCAGCATGCGTACAAACAGATGACAATCAAGCTGGCGACTTGCACCCACACGAAGCTCAGAGATAACAAAGCCAAGAACGCAGTTCAGATTCAAACTTGTCTCGATCGGCTATGGCCGATCACTGTACTCTCAGCAACTTGTTCGCACACACACCCTGGATCTCCCTGGATGCCCCGCACACACACTCGCAACACACGTACACACACACACTAACTCCTATCGGGCAGCTATGGCTGCCATCTAGCTCTACTACCAACACACAAGCGTCTTCCTCCTCTTAGCCCACTTCTTCTTTGGGCACCTGCAGACCTTCGCACACAAGACGCTCCGACAGCCCTTCCGCACGGCTCACAGGCAGAATGAATCCGAACGCTGCCTCTTTATTTATACTTCGGATCTTCGTTGGTCTGCACTTGGATGTCGGGCCCGGGGTGCACACAGTCCCACATGGTACTTGCTGACTTGACAAGGTGCGACTGGGACTGGTACCGCTGACTAGGCTAGATAAGACTGCCCACTTGCGACCTTGACTCTTCAACACTGTAGCAGCTACGACCTAGGCCACTGCTGTAACTCCTAAACCACAGACCCACGGCTCAAGACCCAACGACCATCCTACATACAACATCTACACATACGACTTTCAGACAGCAGGTCGTGGGCTCAAACACAGGCGGGCCCACGGGTACTGTACACGGGTGAAGGGCAGGTCTAGGGATCAAGCCCTGGGTACGGCATCTGCTACCGTAAAGGTGAAAACTGTTTCAATACTTGTCCAAAGAACTTAAAAAGAGAAAGAACAGGGAAACGTGGGCCAGACTGCCAGAAAAGACAAAACAATGATCAAATACTGTTGTAACGAGGCTTTCACCCATACATCATTCATGGCGTGTGAGCGTGCAGGCAGATATGGTGATCACCACAAATACATGAAAATCAAGTCTGTCTTCTTCAACAGAAACGTTACACCAGGCCCACAAGCAATTTGGAGAATCTTCAACGGCCAGATATCCCACACACACGAAATTATGGATGACAAGGTTACCCGTTGCGGCTTCGCACGCAAAAAAGATGAAGGGAAAAGGGTGCAAATGAGGGTGGATAGGGGTTTGTTGGTCGGGTGTGGTTTGGGTGGGGTCGGGGTGGTTTTAAGGCTCACCCGTGCATTGTTGTTGACACTGCCTATGGAATGCTGCTGCTGCTTTGTAAGCCTTGGATATATATTTTTCTTTCTTTTCTTTTTGCTTTTTTGTCCTGTCAAACACCTGATCACAGTTTGCAATCCTTTCAGTTGTGGTTTGCTGGGTTGGTGATTGTCCGGATTTGAACTCACCTGTTGTGTGTG